TACAAACTGGCTCGTTTTTTGTCCGAAATCCTACGGCCTTTCACTGGAAAAACCACCTCTGCAGTACTAAACTCTACTGACCTGGTATCGACAATCAAGGGGATTGCCCTGTCCCCAGACGACCTGCTTGTCAGTTTTGATGTGGTTTCCTTGTTCACCAAGGTACCTGTGCCTGACACCATCGCAATCATTGAAGACTTGGTTCATCAAGGACTGAATGCTGGGGTACCCCCCCTGGTGAGACACTGCCTAACCAATACATACTTCACCTGGAATGGAACCTTCTACAAGCAAATTGAGGGCACCCCAATGGGCTCCCCCCTATCTCCGGTTGTAGCCAACATCTTCATGGAGAAATTTGAGACGGACGCTATCCAGACTGCCACTCTACGCCCGACCTTATGGAAGAGGTACGTAGACGACACTTTTGTCATCTGGCCACATGGCCGGCCTGCTCTAGACCAATTTCTCGACCACATCAATTCCATACACCCAGCCATCAGATTCACCATGGAAGTCGAAAATGATGGCAAGCTACCCTTTTTGGATGTCCTAATCAAAAGGAGACCTGATGGTTCAATGAGCCACTCTGTCTACAGGAAAGCCACCCACACGGATGCTTATCTAAAACCGGATTCCCACCACCATCCATCCCAGAAGAATTCCCTCATCAAGACTCTATATCATAGAGCCCAATGCATCTCCGACCATGAACACATTTCCAGTGAACTCAAACACGTACGCCAAGCTCTTAAGGCAAATGGTTACTCCGACTATACAATCCGCAAAGCCATCACTCCAACCATCAAGAAGGATCCTGTTGAGGAGCCTTTCAAGACCATCACCTTACCCTACATTGCTGGGGTCACAAAAAAGATCTCCAAAATCCTGATTAAACACAAGATCCAGGTCCGATTCAACACAGTACATAAAATCCGTGATCTGGTACCGTCTGTAAAAGATGTGGTTCCAGACATACAGTACCCTGGCGTCTACAAACTAAGTTGCCTCTGTGGTAGCAGTTACATTGGGGAAACCAAACGACATGTCTCGGACCGCATCCGTGAACATAAAGCTGACCTGAAACACGGTAGGACAAACACCTCAGCCGTGGCAGATCACTGTTACAACTCAGTGGGCTCACATGATATTGACTTCTCCAAGACAGAGGTTCTCTGCAAGCCATCTGGCTATCATGAGAGATTCGTTCATGAGGCGATCCACATATACAAACACAAAGACAATTTTAACCGAGAAGATGGATTCTGGCTCAGCAATCATTGGAAGGACGTAATAAACCATTTCGATACACATTAGGGTGTGTAGAATAATACATAGTGTTATATTAAATGTATAAGATATAGGTTGGTTTACAGCAATACAGTATATAATTTAATGTTGGGTTTATCTATGGCAGTATATAGTACGGTATATGCTCGTGTGATGTAAGAGAATAAGGTTTAGATGGAAGCATATTATAGAATTTTTACGAGGTAGAATTGTAATGTATTACTTGCTGTTAGTAACTCAGCTTATTATAGAGTATAGTAAGTATACTGATGGTGCGATGCAGTTTATACTTTAGTTTTTTATGTAGTTTATACTTTAGTTTTCTACGTGGTTGTTGAGTAACTGCAGCTACATATCATTAACATTCCTTTCCTTTGTTACTGCTAATCCCTACACCCCCCTTGGTTGCTGCTGATCCTGCATAATGCATGGGCATAATATGACTTTGACACCCCCCCGCCCAACGCCTACGCATTTTCCATGAATATGCTAAATTCCTCTTCACATGCACATTCTTTTTGTTAAGGCGCTCTTCAACCCCCAATGCAGCTTATATATAAGCTCCTAGTTTGGTAGTGTCTCATTCTTCACCTGAAGACGGCTGCTTGCGTTGTAGCCGAAACGTCGTGAGAATTGTTTTATTATGTTTTATTTTTATTATTTTATTACTTCCCTTCTACGTGACTTTACCGAAAGAAACAAGAAAACACTAATTATAATTTTGTATTACGTGTTTATATAGATTTTGTCGAACTAAGACTATAAATGCACCTTGCTGATTAACATCTGGATGGTTGTAACCATGGTTGAAGCAAGCCCGACTGCTGTTGAGACGCTGTGCACCAATAAGGGTCCACGGGTGGCTTGCACTGAATCAATGATGCACTCCCAGAAGGCTGTGCCAGTTATAGTTTGTGTAAAACATTCCTTTGTTTCGTGGAGAGACCGATAAATGAAAGAGGTGTCCGCTGATCTTTTTTGTATCTGTGTCCATCGATATCTCACATTCCTTACCACATTTATTTAAATATGCAAAGCGCCCTCGGGAGACGTCCCCTCAAAGTCACGGGTGGGTGATGTCAGCGCCTCCCTGTCTCTGGTTTGTGACCTCACCAAGAGCAGAACTCGCCTCGTCCACGGGACGTGACGACTGTGCACTGTCTTGGAATTAATTTGCAGTTATTAAATCTTGACACATACCAAAGAACACACAGAAGAGAAGCCCATCAGGTGTACTGCGTGTGGTAAGGCGTTTACAGGGTCGTCAAATATTCACAACCTCCAGAGAATACATGTACAAAAACTTAAAGTAAACTGTTCTGTATTGCCTTTGAAGTGGGTTTTTTTTACTGAAACGCGTAAAGAAATCTACAAGGAGCACAGTTTGAAACGGACGTGTGAAAGTCAAAGTGCAACAATGAGTCGATCTCGTAACAACAACCAGAATACAATTCCAACTTGGATACATGGCCAGGAGTGGAAGTGTCAAGCGAAGAAGTTGCGCTTAAAAGTGAAGAAGAAGATTCTGCTCCACGACGCGACCTCCATGTGGATGCAGGCAGCGTGAAGCAGGAGCAGCATTCGGACAGAAGGAGAGTGAGACGACCCGCAGGAGTTTGTGGATATGGAGGTGTGAGTGGAGTTTTTGGACACAGCAGAGTAGAAGGGGCTTGCACGTGTGAATTAGAGTCTGGGAAGGTCTGCAACCAGAAGCGTGACAATCTCCAAAGCATTAAACTCATTCACAGACTTCCCTCACTACAAGAATGGATGCAGCTGTAGGCGTCATCCAGTCGAGCTATGAGCTTTCAATAAATATGGAATCACAGTGCAGTAAAATATTTTCGAATTGCAAAGAGTGCCTTTCATAATCGCTCATTAATGTTGGTCAGGTTACTAGTGCCTGTATGGTGGGGTCTTTCGTGCGATTTGTTACGCAACTTGTGAGGTGACAGGTTATTAACGTTGACCGTTTAATTGTAGGCCAGTCGCCAACAATAACAGCTGCAATTTACCACTAAATGATGGTGATATCACCATGGCGCTTGTGCCAGACCTGGTGCATTTCGAGGCCCAGTGAAGTGTCGAAAGATCACAGAGAGGAGGTCATGGGACAGACCCAGATGTCACGGGATCACAGGATATCTGACTGAGATGACTCGGATGCCCCCATTTCCACACGATAGCACAACTTTGAAGAGCAGGTCACACAAACACAGTATCTTACAAGGAGTAATAACCAAAACTATACATCCACTGAAACCTATGTCCGAGTGCGTTTCTGAACTCGTACACGTTTTGATCAGGCGACCTTAACCACCGTTATCCATTCGGGCTGTTTATCTGCATCCTGATATGGGAACGTTCCCACTTAACAAAAGGAGTGCGAGTGGCCCGTAGGTCTTCCAAACGTTCCTTTAAAGCAGACACCCCCTTCCACTGACTGTACATGTCACCTCTGCACGATAGTACATGGCACTCGCCATCACTCCACAATTTGGGTTCGAGATTACTCGCTAATATTGATGTAAGGCACCTCGCCACAATTTAGTTTTTCAATCACAGACCACTTCGGAGCCACAATTACGACATCAGACTTAGCACACGAGTCAGATAGTGACCGCGGATTCGTGTCTTCCGTGTGCTCGGCTGAAATCATTGCACCGCTCCTTCCCACCGCAGGATGGCGCTAGAAGCCGCCCCCTTGCCCCACGGATGAAACGTTATCCATATTCTTTGGTTCTTTCGGTAAAGCCACGTATAAAGAAAAAATAATAAATTAAATAATAATTTTTTCTTTTTACGTGACTTTACCGAAAGAACCAAAGAATAATTCCTGCAGTCACGAAAGCTCCAAAGTTAACGTTATCCATAATTTAGGTTTTTGGGTTAGATCGCGTAAATATGAATGTGTCGTTAAAACCCGCCACCACCCGACACAGACAAATAGTAAGGGTCGTCACGTAAACAGAACGTGGCCAATCCGTCACTAATACAGCACGAACCGGTGTGTTGGAGAGCCAAGCCACATTTACAAATCGAGTACGATGTTTCGCCAGTAATTACAACTAGCTTCATCAGGCGACAGCCAGATTTGTGGAGAAGTCCACCTGTTTCGTTCCTTATATAGAGGCGTAGATGTGGTGACCACCCTTCTGCGCCACGTGGGGAGGGGGGGTGGATTACTGAGGCAACGTTCATTATGCCGCTGCGTGGTGACGTCATCGCGCTCAGGTTGGTTGGAGCGCCGCTGCGTGGTGACGTCATCGCGCTCAGGTTGGTTGGAGCGCCGCTGCGTGGTGACGTCATCGCGCTCAGGTTGGTTGGAGCGCCGCTGCGTGGTGACGTCATCGCGCTCAGGTTGGTTGGAGCGCCCCTGCGTGGCGGTTTGTCGTGCAGCGTGTATAAATAAATAAATAACCTTCCCATTTTACTACAGTATTTTCAAAAATTATTGCTGTGGATTTCACACCTGATGGCGATTGCTTGTGTTGCAGTCAAAACGTCGTAAAATGTTTTTTGTTTTATATTTATATTTTATTATTTCCCTTCTACGTGACTTTACCGAAAGAACCAAGAATATAATACAACATGGTTCTGTATCGCCACCGTGTGGTCACGTGGTACAACTGCAGTGCCTGGCGCGGTGACAGCAGCAGTGGCGCTGTGCGGCGTCTTCACGGCTTCATCGCCGCCAACCCGCTTGGGACTCACGCCAGGACGCCGCAGCAGCAGCAGCGACTCACAACTGCGGGGAACGCGCGGGGTGACGCCTGACAGCGGCAACTGCTGGCGAACTGTGTTGGCCGACACTGCACATGTCCACCACATAGCAGACTTCACCACGAATTGAATGCTTGTGGTACTGCACTTGTACACCAAGCTGTCCCATACGTTTACACCGTTGTATATTTGGTGAACATCGGTGCTGACATAGTGAAACGCACTGCATTGCCAAACAGTGCGCTTCAAATCGGCATCAATCACACCCATCATTGACTTCAATGCAAAATGCCGCCCCGGTTCCAAAAGTCACACAAGCAAGTGGTGTGTGCCCTTCGACTCTACTCGACAGAGTCGAGCCATATACAATTCAACTCATCTCGCTGAGACGCGTTTAAAGGTATATGGATTAGAGTTAGGGGTTCAGGTTTAGGCCAGACATGGGCAAAGCACGGCCCGTGGGGCGTATACGGCCCGTTGGGCTTTTTAATCCGGCCCGCCAAACGTCCAAATATTAAATAAAAATTTACCTTCCTCCTGTAATGCCCCCACTTCCCCAATAGATGTCGCACTTTGACCGGGAGAGAGAATATTCGTATGAGCAATTCATGTTTCTATTGAAAGTTAATAGTAATATTTGGGTACAGTATTGTTTTTGGAAGCATTCATTGTAATATCGTATGAACGTTTACTTCACCGCATCATCGTATGAATGATGCGAGAAGAGATTAACGGGTTCTTATGTTAGCGATTTACGTTCTCGGTGCTTTCGCTCTCTCAATTACGTCTTGAATGAGGGGGAGGGGTATGATTACATCACAAACTTAATCTTACTAGGTATTTTATATAACAAAAGTTATATACATAACTGTTACGTTTTGTGTAATTCAGCAAAACAAACAAAACTTACCTCAGAGTTCTCTCCGAATTTCACGAGTTCGTTCTAGACCCCACAATTTTTTAAAGAGTTTTAAGCACAGAAAACATAATTAAAGTTTGAAAAATCATTAATTATACAAACTTTTCCATAATTTCATTCTTCACTTCGATTTAAAAATGTTCTTTAAAAACTTCTCACCAACATTACCACTTTCTCCGAAGGCAAATTTGTAAAAGAATACATGGTACAGACAGCAGACATCTTGTGTCCGGAGATCAAAAGCAAATTTGAAAAAGTCAGTTCATGACGCTGGACTGACTCGTCGTGTGGAACGGATTGATAAAAATATAGCCAGTCAATTAAACAAAACGTCTGATTCCTTTGAATTATATTCACTAGCACTGGATGAAAGTACGGACGTGAAAGACACTGCTCAGCTCCTCATTTTTACCCGAGGCATTGACGACAGTTTTGCGGTAAGAGGAGTTTTTGACCATGGAGTCCCTGAAAGGAACAACGCGGGGAGAGGACTTGTATAACCAGGTATCTGCTGTCATCGAAAGAATGACGCTACCTTGGAGTAAACTTGTCAATGTCACAACGGGTGGATCGACAAATTTAACTGGAAAAAATATTGGACTGCTGAAAAGAATCCAGGATAAAGTGAAAGAGGAAAACCCTGTCCAGGATCTTATTTTCCTTCACTGCATCATCCATCAAGAATCCCTGTGTAAGTCTGTATTGCAGCTTAATCGTGTCGTGAATCCCAGTCGTACAACTTATGAACTTTATACGAGCAAGGGGACTTCAGCACCGTCAGTTTATTACCTTCCTGGAGGAAACTGATGCGGATCATCAGGATTTGCTGTACCACTCTCGTGTCCGCTGGTTAAGTTTGGGGAAAGTGTTACAACGAGTGTGGGAGCTGAAAGAAGATATCATCGCATTTTTGGAGTTGATGGGGAAATCTGATGAATTCCCTGAGCTAAGCGACAAGAACTGGCTTAGTGACTTTGCGTTTTCTGTGGACATATTTTCACACGAGCTGAATGTGAAACTGCAGGGGAAAGATCAGTTTTTGTACATGTATTCTCTGGAGGTTGTGAATATTTGATGACCCTGGAACCGTCTTACCACACGCAGTACACCTGATGGGCTTCTCTTCTGTGTGTTCTTTGGTACGTGTCAAGATTTAATGACTGCAAATTAATTCCAAGACAGTGCACAGTCGTCATGTCCCATGGACGAGGCGAGTTCTGCTCTTGGTGAGGTCACAAACCAGAGACAGGGAGGCGCTGACATCACCCACCCGTGACTTTGAGGGGACGTCTCCCGAGGACGCTTTGCATATTTAAATAAACATGTGGTAAGCAATGTGAGATATCGATGGACACAGATACAAAAAAGATCAGCGGACACCTTTCATTTATCGGTCTCTCCACGAAACAAAGGAATGTTTTACACAAACTATAACTGGCACAGCCTTCTGGGAGTGCATCATTGATTCAGTGCAAGCCACCCGTGGACCCTTATTGGTGCACAGCGTCTCAACAGCAGTCGGGCTTGCTTCAACCATGGTTCCAAACATCCAGATGTTAATCAGCAAGGTGCATTTATAGTCTTAGTTCGACAAAATCTATATAAACACGTAATACAAAATTATAATTCGTGTTGTGGAGAATGTATCTCCTATACGTAACTTTTTAGTGGTATGCCTTGTAACTGGTGAATTATCCGAGTGTGCTCCCTATTTCAAAGACAATGAGTTGCTCAAGAGGAAGATGCTTCCTGAAACAAAAAAATAACCTTTGGCCTGCATCACAACAACAGGTCTCACCCGAGTTATCTGTACAGGTTACTTCCAAAAACGCAATTTGTCCAAACATCACTTATTCAATATTTGACAATTATAGACAAAATGTTCCATGTACGCACACAATCAGACAAGTATTCATTCTAAATTGACAGGCATATTAACAAAATTGAATTAATGAATCATGTTACGTCGTATATACAAGGAGCTGATATAAAAGAAAATGCACCATCTGCTTAACAGTGGATGTAAAACTTACTGGTGTGTCATTCAAAACCAGTAGGCCATTGCATGCTGGCGTCTGGGTCAAAATTTAGCAAATTCTAAACCTTACCTACAAACTCCAAAACTGAGATGGCACATCAACCATCGCCCCCTACTGACAGGCTCTTGTCCACATGCAGGTCGGTGCAGGGCCACCACCTTGTGCCACACAGGGGCAGCTGCTACTTGGGGATGCTCTTCGAGTGTTTGAGACGAGATACGATACAGAACTCCAAGTTGCTGAGGCAATTAAGCAAGCACCATATGAATGCAAATATTATAACATAGTGAATGCTTGGGAGCTTATGGACTCTCGCTCCTGGATGGGCATCTACCCAACCCACAGGTCCACAAATACTGGCCGCATCTTACTCTGCAGGTTGAACCTAGGAATTGAGTGTTCAACTTCACGTTATTTTCATTAAATGCCTGTGACAAGGGTGAATCTACTGGAGCTTCATTGTCTAAAGGTTACACAACTACCGGGTCTCCATTTGACTTTGTATTGTCTAAGAAGTCCACCCACACCTCCACCTCCACAAACTGCTGGGAGTTGCCTCGCTCTGCCTCACAGCCAGAATTCTCCCCCTGCTTCACGTTGCCTCCATCGATGTGAAGGTCAGATTTTGGAGTTGAATCTTCATCTTCACATTTTACCTCCACTTTTTTGCTCTTCACCATCACTTCTTCACGTTTCACCTTCACCTCTTCATATTTCACCTCGATACCATTCAAAGTGTCCAAGCTGGGTTTTTCTTCCAGATCTTGTTTCAGGAGTGATGGGCTCATTGCGGCACTTTGACTTTCACAAACAGATTTTAGACTCCACTCCTTGTGGATCTTCTGATGCTTGTGTGTTCTCTGGTGTCTTTTAAAAGAGGATGACCGTGAATATGCCTTCTCACAAACAGTGCATTGGAAGGGTTTCTCTTCCGTGTGTGTTTTCTGGTGTAATTTAAGGTGTGATGACTGTGCAAATGCTTTCTCACAAAGAGTGCATTGGAAGGGTTTCTCTCCCGTATGTGTTCTCTGGTGTATTTTAAGAACCGATGACTTTGCAAATGCTTTCTCACAAAGAGTGCACTGGAAGGGTTTCTCTCCCGTGTGTGTTCTCTGGTGTATTTTAAGAGCAGGTGAATATGCAAATGCCTTCTCACAAAGAGTGCACTGGAAGGGTTTCTCTCCCGTGTGTGTTCTCTGGTGTATTTTAAGAGCAGATGACTGTGAAAATGCCTTCTCACAAAGAGTGCACTGGAAGGGTTTCTCTCCCGTGTGTGTTTTCTGGTGGTTCCGAATGTGTGATGAGCATGCAAATGCATTTTTGCACACAGTGCACTGGAAGGGTTTCTCTCCCGTGTGTGTTCTCTGGTGTATTTTAAGAACCGATGACTTTGCAAATGCTTTCTCACAAAGAGTGCACTGGAAGGGTTTCTCTCCCGTGTGTGTTCTCTGGTGTATTTTAAGAGCATGTGAATATGCAAATGCCTTCTCACAAAGAGTGCACTGGAAGGGTTTCTCTCCCGTGTGTGTTCTCTGGTGTATTTTAAGAGCATGTGAATATGCAAATGCCTTCTCACAAAGAGTGCACTGGAAGGGTTTCATTCCCGTGTGTGTTCTCTGGTGTATTTGAAGAACCGATGACCATGCAAATGTTTTCTCACAATGAGTGCACCTGAAGGGTTTCTCTCCCGTGTGTGTTCTCTGGTGGTTCCGAAGGTGTGATGAGCATTCAAATGCCTTTTTGCACACAGTGGACTTGCAGGGTTTCTCTTTTGTACGAATTCTCTGTTGCCGTTTCAAATGTCCACACCGGTCGCATTGTTGCATGTTGTTACCGAGCTGTGCCGAGTGCCTTTGCTCCATCAGACCATTTCTGCAGAGGAAGCGTCAGAGGAAGCGACAGCTACAGACAAAAACAACAACACCATCTACGGCATTATCGAGGCAGAGGAATGCATATATACACAGTCACACATGACTTACACGTCTATACTTATTGATATATTCAAGATATTTCCCAATTGATCACATGGGCTGTTAGGGCACACAATGAGAGGGCAAATGGTCATAAATATGCCTGGAAGCCTGATAATCTTCTAAATGAATGTTAATCCAAAACTCCAAGCACACAATATCGGCTGAATGTGTCGTTAACACCCGCCACCACCCGACACATCCAAGTAGTAAGGGTTGTCACGTAAACAGAAGATGCCAATTCGTCACTAGTACAGCACACCGGTGTGTTGGAGAGCCAAGCCACAACATTTACAAAATGAGTACAACGTTTCGCCAGTACTTACAACTAGCTTCATCAGGTGACAGCCATATTTGTGGAGAAGTCTTACCGTTTCGTTCCTTAAATAGAGCCGCAGATGTGTTGACCACCCTTCTGTGCTCTTGCACAATGTGGGGGGGGGGGGGGGGAATTACCGTTGGTAGGGCGATTAAAAAAAAAACACAATAGACAGGAAGGACACGTTCAAAGGCCTCGCGTAATGGACATGCATAATGAACGTTGCCAAGTAATCTCCCACCCCCACGTGGCGCAAGAGCACAGAAAGGTGGTCACCACATCTACACCTTCATATAAGGAACGATACGGTAAGACTTCTCCACAAATTTATCTGTCACCTGATGAAGCGAGTTGTGCTGTACCAGTGACGAGTTGCCACGTTCTGTTTACGTGACAACTCTTACTAGTTGGCTGTGTCGGGTGGTGGTGGGTTTTAACGACGACAAATTTATATATTTACACGATCTAACCCAAAAAGATCGTATGGATAGCAAAGGGTGTTGAAAATATTCCTGTGTGTTGTGCAGAAATGCAAAAATGTATATTCAATCACAACTTAGAGGTGTGAATCCAGGCTCATATTTCCTTGAATGCTCGGATGAACAGATCTAACTTCAGCTGCATATGTGATGTGTTAATTTCCAGTTTCCATTCGTATAAAAAGTTCCAGAAAAAAAAAAGTATCGTTTTGATGTAACCTGTGTTCAATCGAGTCAATATACTTTACAGCAAATACAAACTTTACACGGTCACACACTGGCATGGGAAAAAGGTGGTTGTGTGTCCAGAACCATGCCTGGCCACGTTCATCTGCTCAGTATTAATGCTTCCTCACTTCACCATGTCATTAATTGACGATCAATCAACATAGCAGAGGTGCACAATAAGTTCATCTTTCACTTATCAATCATGTTTGCTGTCGGCTACAATAAAACTAATTAAGTTCATAATGCAGTGAAATAACTGCACCACCGCTCCCCAGGAAGATAAACTCTTAAATACACATCCATTTCACATGGATCATGAACATATTATATAAACAAAACATCCACCATTCATGACGAATTGGAAGTGACCTTATCACAGTGCTAATGCCATTTTAGGGGCAATTTAAGTGTATCACTTGTCAGCCGGTCATGGGACCGGTCCAGGTGTCAAGGGATTACTGACAGATGCACCAAGCTGTGCTTCCCACTGTCTTGCTGGGTTTTAGGAACCCAGCGGTCCACCCATTCATGCGACCATCGCTCCTCCGGCCTCATCGTTGTTAGAGAGCAAATATCTTTGACTGTCCTGCAGCATACCTCGCGGGCCTCCTCCACAGAGGCCGATCTCGACACTCCTGGCACCAGCCATCTGCAGATCCGATCACCTCCACATCCTCCAATCTCTTCGAGCCCATACCATGCCTGTTTAGACGCTAAAGTCTGGACTAACAGAAGCTGCTTGAGCATGCGGTGTCTGGGAATGCGGGATTCATGACCAAACCAATGAAGCCTCGCCTGCCAAAGAGACTCACTGATTAGATTTCTATATTAAGGATCTTTAAGCTTCTAATACAATATAGTCTGGTTCAATAGAGGCTGGATCATAGGCAGGCCAGCCTTCATTCTATAAGCCAGCACAGGCGGTCATTTAAATACGTTCATGTTTTCCATCCACAGAGGAGTAATATCTGTGGCCCAGAAGAATCACAGCTTTCATCTTCTTGGTTCTTTCCGTAAAGTCACGTAGAATGGAAATAATAAAATAATAAAAATAAAACATAATAAAATAATTCTCACGACGTTTCGGCCACAACGCAAGCAGCCGTCCTCAGGTGAAGAACAGGTCTGTCGAGAAGACAGTCTGAATGACACACCCCAGGCTTGGAGCCTCTATTTAAAAGCTGGGAGGGAGGAGGAAGAGAATTATTTAATAATTTTATTTCAATTATTTTATTATTTCCATTCTACGTGACTTTACCGAAAGAACCAAGAAGATGAATCCCTGCAGTCACGAAAGCTTTAAATCGAAAAATCACAGCTTTGTCCATACGTTTATGAATCCGCGTGTCCTGGTGAGGGTCCCGGTGGCAGCATGGCAAGTAGGGTGGTGAAATCACTCCTTGAGCCAGGCCCAGTGGGTTGTGTTCACCAGCAAGCGCCTCTTGGCCGGGTGACCCACGTAACTCGATCGGGCCCAGCCTGAAACGGCGACGTGACAGCATCACGTGCACCCACCATCCGCAGGAAAAATGGTGAGGGGCGGGTGCGATGAACTAGACCTTCGCGGTAGACACTCGCAGATTTGTATTCAGCAAAAGTCCAGGCAGCTTCCACAGTGTTACAGTCTAATGAAAGAATGCTGCTCGACTAATTTGAAGTGAGACTTTGGCTGCCAGAGCTTGGTGTGAACACATTAACCAGCTATGAGAGCTTCTCCGCCACTTGTAGAACTGCCCGTATGACATGAAATTCCATGACAGGCGATTTATTTTTGTGGAACATACACAAGACCCCATTTCATGTTGGAATTATCCAGACACAGAACAAGATTCTCCATCTCATGGAGCGGCCATTACCAGATCATCAGCAGATGTAACATGGTTAACCAGCAGGGAACCATCCCTTAACTTTGACCAGGCATCGATTCGCGTATCATTGTAACCATAAATAATGCAATTTATTTATATGGCCATTGTGAGCTTTTCTAACTATGTAATTATTGAAGATGTAATGTAATGCATGGCGCCAGAGATATTTTATGTCATGAGCAAAGTTGAACAGGAAATGGCTCCGACTCCTGGTCACGCAGCTTTAGACGGGCCTGCCCAAAATAAAAAAAAATCCTCAATGAATGTGAGCGGAGGCAGAGAAATCGAAAACAAAAAACAACCCAAAGCCCCAGGCCTCTTTATGGTACTATAGGCCTAAATTACATCAAGAAAACTGATATAATTTCTGCTGAAAATCCGTACTCCTCTGTGGTAGTCGATCGACAGAAAATACAGCAGTCCCTTGAATATCGCAGAAGTCACGTTTTTAGAAAGTGCCGCGCGAAAGCTAAAAGCACAATATTCAATACTTTAGCCTTACCTACGTAATGGCGTTTAAGCCCTGGGCATTCTCACTACTTCTGGTTTGCCACACATGCAAACACATTATGACATTTCATATACTACAATTCCACGCACTAACCATAACAGAAGTGTCTGCACTGAACTGCTGTTATATTTGTTCTCATATTTACCACGATATCCTTCCCTGTTACCAGGCCTGCATTTTTGCCACCAAATTCATCCACTTCCGGCTCCTTACTGTCCTCTGCATGTGCACGGCTCACCTCTAACACAACGCAATGTTTATTTAAAAAATAAATACCACTCTAAAATATTTACATCTACGTACCAACACTACCGACCTCCTTCTACACACCAGACGTTATATAACAGCTACAACTAAATACATCAAGTATACATCGCCTGGTAAGGAATACAATGCATGCACATACACACTCGCGTTAAAATAATTACATGTACACACGCCACCACACACATACTATTAATACCCACATCAAGCACTACAATTACTCCCTCCATAAACTTACGTCCTTCGTTCCTTTGCGGCAATGTCGTCAGCAAGGCAGCTTGCAAACAGCACAATGGCTGCAACCAGGTGCCTGATCATTGAGCCAAAAAGTAAATTATTTTCGTGCCATACAGTACCGCACTGAATTCCTGCTCATTAACATAACCCTGAATGTACTTCGCCGCAACCAGCATGTAAGGACGCGACGACTCACAGATGTTTGCTTTGCGGGGCGCTGCGATGCCAAGCAGAGACGACCACGAGCACCGCTCCACCGCGCGGCTGTGGTCGCAATGGTCGCCATTTAAAACCCCCACCACCCTCACCCCCTGAGGTCACGTGGCCGAGCGCTCCGTGACGTCGATGACAACGGACGCGCCAGCCCACGGCAGCCACCGGGGGCCGCGCAGCTTGACAAACGTGGATTGTGGAGGCAGGACGACGCATTCGCTACCGGCTGCGTCTGAGGTGAGAAGTCTGTGTGTCCACACGCAATGTACGCACATAATGTACATACACGATGTATGTTGATTAAACGTGAATAATTCAAGGAATAGTAGAAAGCCATTATGATTTATTCTTGATTTGAAGCTTTCGTGACTGCAGGAATCCATACTCTTTGGTTATTGCGGTAAAGTCACGTAGGTAGAAAAATTAAATGAAACAAAAAAGTGAAATAAATCACGTTTCGATCGCAACACAAGCGGTCGTCCAAAGGCGGAAAAATATAATTCAGCAGTGGAACTGCTGAACCAGCGAGAGAGCTGCTACAACAAGAGGTTCCATGTGGTGATGGTGGGCAAGCACGATGATAATTTGACATTAACCCGCCCACCTCTGGTCCTGGCACCTGATTGGCTCACAGTGACGACATCACATTGACCCCCCCTCTCTCAGACCGGATCAGGATGATTTCCTCCACAATTCTGGATGTAGCCTGATGAGGCTGGATGTGATTACCGGCAAAACATCGTACTCAGTCTGTCAATGTTGCTGTGGTT